AAATTGAAAAAATTATTCAAATTAAAAAAACATTTGCACCTTAAAGACTACTTTCCTATTTTTCTTTTAATAATTCCTCATAAAAAAGACCATTCAAGCAGCACATTGTTCCTGATGTTTTTGAGAATATACTGTAGGGGTGAAAGCTGCAGCTGCTACTAGTGTGAAGTGAATGGACAGCAACAAAGCGTTAAAGCAACAATGGGGAAATGCTGTCCCCTCCATGCTAATGTAAACCCTGGTTGGATAAGGATTCAAAACTGGATATGAAGATGAAATCTGACACACAGTTTCAGAGTTACAACTGATAAAATAATTGCTGTCTGTGGTTCTACAGGAGGCTATGGTGTAATTGAGCAATATATGAAAAAAATAAAAGAACTATGAAGTAGTTCATTTTTTGGAACTGTGAAATTATGAACTATGAACTGAACTAGTTCATTTTAAAATGTGTGAACTGAACTTTGAACTAGTTCACGTAGAAAGAGAACTTTCCAACACTGGTGAAAACCTTCTGATGAGGTTAGCTGGTCTCTGTGGTCCCTGGAGGTGAACATGGTTACCATGACAGTCTCTCCCAGGCATTGAGTGGACGATATAAAAGCAATAATCTGTCGTAAGGTTTCTGGTATGAACTGGAATAATTCAGTGCAGCTTTGAAGGCTAGAGATCAAAGAGATCTCAGCCCCACAGCAGAAACCACTGACCCGCTGCGTTCACACCATGTCCCCACACGTCTGACCAAACCTTCAGCCTCTAGCTGTTTGCTCCACCTCTGCTCTGACAAGGTGGATGAGGAACCCGCGCTGCAGCTGGTACAGGAAGTGCAGTCAAATGGCTTCCTTAGACCCGCTCAGTTACTTCCTGACTGATTCAGGTGAAAATGCAAAGAAGCGTGAAGAACTCCAACCTGCTCTGTGACTCACTTTAGCCACCATCAGAGGTGATGCTGCAAACTAACCTCCCACAGGTCTGAACACCTGCTGAGTCACCACCTGCTTCAGGATCCATTCCCCCCGTCTCCTCTGGCAGGTCAAAGGGCGCAGGGTGGAGGTTTGGTTGTTCCTAGATGTTCCTCTCAGCGGTCATGGACAGATCAGACCATGGAGGGATTAGTCTGCTCACTCCAATCATTCGTCTGTTTGGAGGAATCTTTAAAAAGCGACTCTCCTCTGCTGTAAACAGACCTTCCAGAACACCTTCAATCCAGATCTGCTCTTCTGTGTGTTTATTAAACAAACACCTCCTACATTTATGCAGAGACAGACTTTAGTTTTTACCTCATGCATTTTTTTCAACCAAGTAAACAGTGGCCTGCAGTAACGCTCCAGTGCGTCCCTCTGTAGGCCGAGTCGTCTGCGTCGATGAAAGGAGGCGGGGTTATGGTTGTAGAGAAGGGGGCGGGGTTATGGTTGTAGAGAAGGGGGCGGGGTTATGGTTGTAGAGACCCCTGAGGAGAAGGTTCTTCACACATTTAGTGACTTTCAGAAGAACTGAGGAACAAACAACCTCTGAATTAAACGGAATTAAACGAGGTTCATTAGTCAGAATGAAGCAGCGAATAAAGGCTGTGAATAAAGGCCATAACTGCTTTAAGCTTGGAGGATAAAGGCCTCAGAGGGAGAATATCCTGTATGAAGGTTTCAGGGCTTCAGAGATAGAAACAGAGACGTATTCTGATCACCTGTGGCCCTGAAATACTGGTCTCTGTTTCTACTGGTCCCTGAATAACCAGCAGCAGCTGATCTCTGCCACCATGCTTCTGATCACAGCCAGGTGCAAGTTTAAGGTGTTAGAGTCTAAAACTTTCTTCTCTACGTCTTTAAATCGGACCAACTGGAGTTACAGCTTTTCTCCAGATTGTTTGTTTGTCCACAAACGAACCCAAAGATGTCAAAGGTGAAAGGTCACGCTCAATAAATCTGATTTTATTCTGCATTTAAAGCAGCTCAGGCTTTCAGCGCATTTCCTGTTGTCTGGGAGTTTAGCAGTGGAGGCTGGTCGAGTTTTCTCCAGGGGGCGCTATAACTTCCAAATAATCTATAAATCCCAGCGATATATTTCTATGATTCCCAACAACAACAAACTACATTCTGTCCATGCTGGGTCAGATCCTGACCTTTGATAAAGGAGGCAGAATACAGCGTTACGCTTGGATTTGTTCATCATGGAGCCCAGGAGGCGAATGAAGACCAACACCAAATAGAAAACTTTAAATTGAAAATATATTAGCACCATAGAGAGCGTTCTGACCAGCTGTCTCTCTCTGTGGTGTGGAGGCTGCAGAGCTTCTGACTGGAAGAATGTGAGGAGGGTGGTGAGGACAGCGGAAGGAATCACTGGGGCTCCTCTTCCCTCCATTAAGGACATTTCATCACAGCGCTGTGTGTCCCGAGCCCGTAATATCATCAAAGACCCCTCACACCCCCACCATGGACTGTTCTCCCTGCTGCCCTCTGGAAAGAGGTTCCGCAGCATCCGCTGCAGATCCACCAGGTTGTGCAACAGCTTCTTCCCCACTGCCATCAGACTGTTGAACCTTTGATCCACAATCCGAACTCTGCACCTATTGCACATTATCGGGCATCAAATGCTGCTGAACTTTTAACTTTTAGCCCTTTAAATTGTTCATCTCATTGTATTTTTCAATAACGCATTTTTTGCACAAATGCCATTTTGCACTGAACCACTGCAACTTGCACACTGTCTCTTATCCTCTGCACTGTTCACACTTTGACCACTGCTGCACTTTTTGTATTTTTCTATAACTCGTGCCATTGTGAAATATCAATGCAACGTTCATAAGCTGTATGTAACGCAATTTCGTTCTGTATGCACCCTGTGCATACAAAATGACAAATAAAGAAGTCTAAGTCTAAGTCTAAGTCATATTAATGTTCAAAACAAACAGAAACAATATTAACAGTGAGATGACAACATCTAATAAACAAGAAATCACAATTTAAAACTTTCAGTCCTTCCAAAATCCTAAAGATCATTTAATTGGGATTTTTTCCAAACGGGAATAACAAAATGAGTCCAAAAAAAAAAAAAAGAAATATATCAGATTAAACATTCTTCATTAATTTAAATTAGTTTAAATTCGCCTTTGAATCCTCATCAATTCAGTTCTATTCAGTTTATTTCTATAGCTCCAATTCACATCATGTCATCTCAGGTCACTTTATAGATCCACATCAACCAGATCATCCAGTCAGATTGATTCAAAGTTTTCTATCTAAGGAAAACCAGTTGATTGCATCGACTCATTGACTCTTCAGCAATCCCTGACACTAAGCATGCTTGTAGCGACAGTGGAGAGAAAAAACTCCCTTTGAACAGGAAGAAACCTCCAGCAGAACCAGGCTCAGTGTGAGCGGCCATCTGCTGAGGCCCACTGGGGTTCAAGGAGACAGAAGCAGACATAGAAAAAGAAGCATAGATACAAAAGGCAACTGTCAACCAGCTCCACAGGCGGCCCCGTCCAGGAAACACACAGCCAGGCAGACGAGCTCCAAGTTTAGGTGCTTCTAAGAGGCTGCCTGTTCTCTGATGACAGTTGGCAGCCGCTCCTCAGGCCGCTCCTCAGGCCGCCTGCGGCCGCTCCTCAGGCCGCCTGCAGCCGCTCCTCAGGCCGCCTGCAGCCGCTCCTCAGGCCGCCTGCAGCTGCTCCTCAGGCCGCTCCTCAGGCCGCCTGCAGCCGCTCCTCAGGCCGCTCCTCAGGCCGCCTGCAGCCGCTCCTCAGGCCGCTCCTCAGGCCGCCTGCAGCCGCTCCTCAGGCCGCTCCTCAGGCCGCCTGCAGCCGCTCCTCAGGCCGCTCCTCAGGCCGCCTGCAGCCGCTCCTCAGGCCGCTCCTCAGGCCGCCTGCAGCCGCTCCTCAGGCCGCTCCTCAGGCCGCCTGCAGCCGCTCCTCAGGCCGCTCCTCAGGCCGCCTGCAGCCGCTCCTCAGGCCGCTCCTCAGGCCGCCTGCAGCCGCTCCTCAGGCCGCTCCTCAGGCCGCCTGCAGCTGCTCCTCAGGCCGCTCCTCAGGCCGCCTGCGGCCGCTCCTCAGGCCGCTCCTCAGGCCGCCTGCGGCCGCTCCTCAGGCCCCCTGCAGCCGCTCCTCAGGCCGCCAGCGGCCGCTCCTCAGGCCACCTGCGGCCGCTCCTCAGGCCGCTCCTCAGGCCGCTCCTCAGGCCGCCTGCGGCCGCTCCTCAGGCCCCCTGCAGCCGCTCCTCAGGCCGCCAGCGGCCGCTCCTCAGGCCGCTCCTCAGGCCCCCTGCAGCCGCTCCTCAGGCCGCCAGCGGCCGCTCCTCAGGCCGCCTGCAGCCGCTCCTCAGGCCGCCTGCAGCCGCTCCTCAGGCCGCCTGCAGCCGCTCCTCAGGCCGCCTGCGGCCGCTCCTCAGGCCGCCAGCGGCCGCCTCCTCAGGCCGCCTGCAGCCGCTCCTCAGGCCGCCTGCAGCCGCTCCTCAGGCCGCCTGCAGCCGCTCCTCAGGCCGCCTGCAGCCGCTCCTCAGGCCGCCTGCAGCCGCTCCTCAGGCCGCCTGCAGCCGCTCCTCAGGCCGCCTGCGGCCGCCCCTCAGGCCGCCAGCGGCCGCCCCTCAGGCCGCCTGCGGCCGCTCCTCAGGCCGCCTGCAGCCGCTCCTCAGGCCGCCTGCAGCCGCTCCTCAGGCCGCCTGCAGCCGCTCCTCAGGCCGCCTGCAGCCGCTCCTCAGGCCGCCTGCAGCCGCCCCTCAGGCCGCCTGCAGCCGCTCCTCAGGCCGCCTGCAGCCGCTCCTCAGGCCGCCTGCAGCCGCTCCTCAGGCCGCCTGCAGCCGCTCCTCAGGCCGCCTGCAGCCGCCCCTCAGGCCGCCAGCGGCCGCTCCTCAGGCCGCTCCTCAGGCCGCTCCTCAGGCCGCCTGGCAGTAAAGTGCTGATTGGATCTGATCTGACCACAGAGGGACTGTGAGCTGTTATCAGTGCTCTGATAGCACAGCAGCATCCAGTCAGGCTGACAGCTCAGGCTCAGACGGGGGAGGAGGGCCAGGCCAGCTCTGCTCAGGGATTAGGACAAGCTCCTTGGAGCATTTACATGTGAATAGATCCTGGGGCTGCCCCCCCCCCTCTCCCTCTCTGTCTCTCCTCACTCGGCTCCTGACAGAAGGGAGAACCAAAGGCAGGCAGCAGGGAGGGAAACGAGTTCCTCACGGTTACCAAAAACAAACTTTGCAGGAAGAAGTTGGAGGTTCTGTTTAGAGAGCTTCTGCTGCCAACGGCTGAGGATCAGAAGGTAAGCATGGCTGCGTCCTTCCATTGGCTCTGGTTTCTGAGGGTGGGGGGGGTGATCTTCAATGCTCTGTCCTACAATGAAAGCAGATGGGACCGGTCCACTCTGGCAGGGGGTGGGGGGAGGAAGGCCTCTGTTGGCTCCTTTCAAACTGCAGCAGGTCCTCAGAATCATGGCTGCTTGGTAACGTCAAGTCATGGTTGATCTCTGCTCTTTATTAATCAGATGTTTCTGGCAGGTTTGATGCGTTAACCGTTAAAGCGAACAGCTTGGAACCGTCGGCCTGCTTCCTAACCCCACATGTTCTGTTTTCCCAACCAGTTATCCTGATTCCCATGACTTTAATACTTCAACCATAAAAACACAAACTAGTCATAGAACTCCGGTCCTGCAGGTTCGACCCAATCACACCTCTGATCTGGTCTGGCTGTAGCCGCTTTTAAATAAAAACTACTTACTATAAAAAAAACTTAACAGAAAACATTTGATTAACAAATCTTCATTAGTTCCCCATTAAAATAAATAATTAATAAATAATCTGACATATAGTTTCATTTACTTTGATGCTGTAATCCAGGGAGAGTAGATTTAATCCTAGTTTAGTTCTGATTGGGCCCATTGGACTAATGACATAGATGATGATGATGATGATGATGATGATGATGATGATGATGATGATGATGATGGTGATGATGATGTCGACGATGATGATGATGATGATGTTGACGATGATAATGATGATGGTGGTGATGATGATGATGGTGGTGATGATGATGATGATGGTGGTGGTGGCACTGAATGACCTCCGTCTGCTTCTTGATTTCATTTTATACAGATACCACATTTTTTTTGCAGTGGATAAAAGTCTGATCATCTAGTGGTTCTAGATCTATTCTCCTGAATAACTGCTCCAGTCCTCCTCAGGTCGTGGTTCTGAATGACACGTTTCAGCTGATGGATCAAAGAAACATCAGCTCTTCATCCAGTGTCCTTCTCACTTGAAAAACATAATCTGCTTCTGATTCTGCTGTATCCGTAGAATCAGAATGAAAGGTCCTGTAGTCAGAGCGGCCTTGTAGTCGGATTGCCTGTAGTCAGAGCGGCCTTGTAGTCGGATTGCCTGTAGTCAGAGCGCTTGTAGTCAGAGCGCCTGTAGTCAGAGCGGCCTTGTAGTCGGATTGCCTGTAGTCAGAGCGCTTGTAGTCAGAGCGCCTGTAGTCGGAGCGCTTGGAGTCAGAGCGCCTGTAGTCGGAGCGCTTGGAGTCAGAGCGCCTGTAGTCGGAGCGCTTGGAGTCGGAGCGCCTGTAGTCAGAGCGCTTGTAGTCAGAGCGCCTGTAGTCAGAGCGCCTGTAGTCAGAGCAGCCTTGTAGTCAGAGCGCCTGTAGTCAGAGCGCCTGTAGTCAGAGCGCTTGTAGTCAGAGCGCCTGTAGTCAGAGCGCCTGTAGTCAGAGCGCCTGTAGTCAGAGCGCCTGTAGTCAGAGCGCTTGTAGTCAGAGCGCCTGTAGTCAGAGCGCTTGTAGTCAGAGCGCCTGTAGTCAGAGCGCCTGTAGTCAGAGTGCCTGTAGTCAGAGCGCCTGTAGTCAGAGCGCCTGTAGTCAGAGCGGCCTTGTTGTCAGAGCGCCTGTAGTCAGAGCGGCCTTGTAGTCGGATTGCCTGTAGTCAGAGCGCCTTGTAGTCAGAGCGCCTGTAGTCAGAGCGCTTGTAGTCAGAGCGCCTGTAGTCAGAGCGCTTGTAGTCAGAGCGCCTGTAGTCAGAGCGCTTGCAGTCAGAGCGCCTGTAGTCAGAGCGGCCTTGTAGTCGGATTGCCTGTAGTCAGAGTGCTTGGAGTCAGAGCGCTTGTAGTCGGATTGCCTGTAGTCAGAGCGCCTGTAGTCAGAGCGGCCTTGTAGTCGGAGCGCCTGTAGTCAGAGCGGCCTTGCAGTCAGAGCGCCTGTAGTCAGAGCGGCCTTGCAGTCAGAGCGCCTGTAGTCAGAGCGCTTGCAGTCAGAGCGCCTGTAGTCAGAGCGCCTGTAGTCAGAGCGGCCTTGCAGTCAGATTGCCTGTAGTCAGAGCGCCTGTAGTCAGAGCGGCCTTGCAGTCAGAGCGCCTGTAGTCAGAGCGGCCTTGCAGTCAGAGCGCCTGTAGTCAGAGCGGCCTTGCAGTCAGAGCGCCTGTAGTCAGAGCGCCTGTAGTCAGAGCGCCTGTAGTCAGAGCGGCCTTGTAGTCGGATTGCCTGTAGTCAGAGTGCTTGGAGTCAGAGCGCCTGTAGTCAGAGCGGCCTTGTAGTCGGAGCGCCTGTAGTCAGAGCGGCCTTGCAGTCAGATTGCCTGTAGTCAGAGCGCCTGTAGTCAGAGCGGCCTTGCAGTCAGAGCGCCTGTAGTCAGAGCGGCCTTGCAGTCAGAGCGCCTGTAGTCAGAGCGGCTGTAGTCAGAGCGCTTGGAGTCAGAGCGCTTGTAGTCAGAGCGCCTGTAGTCAGAGCGCCTGTAGTCAGAGTGGCCTTGCAGTCAGAGCGCCTGTAGTCAGAGCGCCTGTAGTCAGAGCGGCCTTGTAGTCGGAGCGCCTGTAGTCAGAGCGGCCTTGCAGTCAGAGCGCCTGTAGTCAGAGTGCTTGGAGTCAGAACGCCTGTAGTCAGAGCGGCCTTGTAGTCGGAGCGCCTGTAGTCAGAGCGGCCTTGCAGTCAGAGCGCCTGTAGTCAGAGCGGCCTTGCAGTCAGAGCGCCTGTAGTCAGAGCGCTTGCAGTCAGAGCGCCTGTAGTCGGATTGCCTGTAGTCAGAGCGGCCTTGTAGTCAGAGCGCCTGTAGTCAGAGCGCTTGCAGTCAGAGCGCCTGTAGTCAGAGCGCCTGTAGTCAGAGCGGCCTTGTAGTCGGATTGCCTGTAGTCAGAGCGCCTGTAGTCAGAGCGGCCTTGTAGTCAGAGCGCCTGTAGTCAGAGCGCTTGCAGTCAGAGCGCCTGTAGTCAGAGCGGCCTTGTAGTCGGAGCGCCTGTAGTCAGAGCGGCCTTGCAGTCAGATTGCCTGTAGTCAGAGCGCCTGTAGTCAGAGCGGCCTTGTAGTCGGAGCGCCTGTAGTCAGAGCGGCCTTGCAGTCAGAGCGCCTGTAGTCAGAGTGCTTGGAGTCAGAACGCCTGTAGTCAGAGCGGCCTTGTAGTCGGAGCGCCTGTAGTCAGAGCGGCCTTGCAGTCAGAGCGCCTGTAGTCAGAGCGGCCTTGCAGTCAGAGCGCCTGTAGTCAGAGCGCTTGCAGTCAGAGCGCCTGTAGTCGGATTGCCTGTAGTCAGAGCGGCCTTGTAGTCAGAGCGCCTGTAGTCAGAGCGGCCTTGTAGTCAGAGCGCCTGTAGTCAGAGCGCTTGCAGTCAGAGCGCCTGTAGTCAGAGCGCCTGTAGTCAGAGCGCCTGTAGTCAGAGCGGCCTTGTAGTCGGATTGCCTGTAGTCAGAGCGCCTGTAGTCAGAGCGGCCTTGTAGTCAGAGCGCCTGTAGTCAGAGCGCTTGCAGTCAGAGCGCCTGTAGTCAGAGCGCCTGTAGTCAGAGCGCCTGTAGTCAGAGCGGCCTTGTAGTCGGATTGCCTGTAGTCAGAGTGCTTGGAGTCAGAGCGCCTGTAGTCAGAGCGGCCTTGCAGTCAGAGCGCCTGTAGTCAGAGCGGCCTTGCAGTCAGAGCGCCTGTAGTCAGAGCGGCCTTGCAGTCAGAGCGCCTGTAGTCAGAGCGGCCTTGCAGTCAGAGCGCCTGTAGTCAGAGCGCTTGCAGTCAGAGCGCCTGTAGTCAGAGCGCCTGTAGTCAGAGCGGCCTTGCAGTCAGATTGCCTGTAGTCAGAGTGCTTGTAGTCAGAGCGGCCTTGCAGTCAGAGCGCCTGTAGTCAGAGCGCCTGTAGTCAGAGCGCTTGCAGTCAGAGTGCTTGTAGTCAGAGCGGCTGTAGTCAGAGCGGCCTTGTAGTCGGAGTACAGGCGCTCTGACTACAGGCGCTCTGACTACAGGCGCTCTGACTGCAAGGCCGCTCTGACTACAGGCGCTCTGACTGCAAGCGCTCTGACTACAGGCGCTCTGACTACAGGCGCTCTGACTACAGGCGCTCTGACTACAGGCGCTCTGACTGCAAGGCCGCTCTGACTACAGGCGCTCTGACTGCAAGCGCTCTGACTACAGGTGCTCTGACTATAGGTGCTCTGACTGCAAGCGCTCTGACTGCAAGCGCTCTGACTGCAGGCGCTCTGACTACAGGCGTTCCGAGTACAGGACCTTTCATTCTGATTCTACGGATACAGCAGAATCAGAAGCAAGTGAGAAGGACACTGGATGAAGCGCCTGTAGTCAGAGTGCCTGTAGTCAGAGCGCCTGTAGTCAGAGCGGCCTGTAGTCGGAGCGCCTGTAGTCAGAGCGGCCTTGTAGTCAGAGCGCCTGTAGTCAGAGCGGCCTGTAGTCGGAGCGCCTGTAGTCAGAGCGGCCTTGTAGTCAGAGCGCCTGTAGTCAGAGCGGCCTTGTAGTCGGAGCGCCTGTAGTCGGAGCACTTGTAGTCAGAGCGGCCTTGTAGTCAGAGTGCCTGTAGTCAGAGTGCTTGTAGTCAGAGCGCCGGTAGTCAGAGCGGCCTGTAGTTGGAGCGGCTGTAGTCGGAGTGCTTGTAGTCAGAGCGCCGGTAGTCAGACTGCTTGTAGTCAGAGCGCCTGTAGTCAGAGCGCCTGTAGTCAGAGCGGCCTTGTAATCGGAGCACCTGTAGTCAGAGCGGCCTTGTAGTCAGAGTGCCTGTAGTCAGAGCGGCCTTGTAGTCAGAGTGCCTGTAGTCAGAGCGGCCTTGTAGTCAGAGTGCCTGTAGTCAGAGCGGCCTTGCAGTCAGAGCGGTCTTGTAGTCAGAGCGGCTGTAGTCAGAGAGGCCCTGTAGTTAGAGTACTTGTACTCACAGCAACGAAAGTCAGATCCGCCCTGTAGTCAGAGCGACGGTAGTCAGAGCTACCCTGCAGTCGGAGTGCCTGCAGTTGGACCGGCTGTAGTCAGAGCGACGGTAGTCTAAGCGCCTGTAAATAGAGCTATAGACCCCTACAG